CTTATCACGTGCGTCAAAATATTTATCACAAAATAAATACCGATATGTGGAATAATGAGATTACTGGAATTGTGCGACATGTGTTGATCTTTTCTCATTTAATTTTATAATTATTTATATTTTAACTTTTTTTTTAATCAATAATCTTGCAATTTTAATCTGATATTGTCTTGATTAATTAATTAAAAATCTTGTTTCGAAATTTAAAGATCTAAATTTTTAATTAGTTATTAAGACAAAGATTAAGATTGTCAAAATTATTGGTTTAAAAAAAAAGTTAAAATATATATATTTGTAAATTAGAGAAAAATCATACTATATTATATAAACTTAAAAATTTTGTTTAATAAATGAAAACGCTTACATTAATAAATTTTGAAATATTTAATGCAATAAATAAAATAATATAAAATTATATAAAATTATTTAGCTATAAAAAACTTTGTGTAAATGCATTAATTGTAATTCTTCTTTTATAATTTTTCTTCGTTGTGTAATTCTTCTTTTGTAATTTTCTTCGTCTGTGTAATTCTTCTTTTGTAATTTTTTAGTATGTGTGTGAGCTGCTTCTACATCTAATATTACTGCAACTGCTTTAAATTTAGATAACATATATATATATATATATATATATATATATATATATATGTATCTATACACGAAAAATAAACGAATGACTAATAAATACTAATTACTTTAAATTATTATGTGTTATAAAGATTATATTTTATTATTATATATATATATATATATATATATATATATATATTATTTTAAACAATTATTCAGCATTAATTATATTAAAAATTGATTTAATAAAATCGAGACATGGCAATACAAGATTTTTACTTTTACAAAAAATCAAAATCCAAATAAGATTTAGGTTTTAGAGAATTTTCAATATTAATACAATATATATTTTTATAAATATAGTCTAGAGTTTTATGCAACCCTAATGATTACTCCAATGTATCAAACTAATAAAAACGAAGCGATTTATTTAGCCATCGGGATACTATTGCTACATATCGAGTAAGAAAATAATCGAATTTATTTATAATCTTAACATTTTCTCATTTCGGGTAATTTTGAGAAAGCAATTTTACCTGTCATCCGCAATTTTTAGCAAATAAATTTCAAGTACACATTTTTACATCACATATTTAGATAAATATTTATCTCAAATTCTTATCTATCATGATATCAGTGCATGTTTCTCATCTTATTTATAATATATTATTTGCTCAATAAATCAATTTTGATTGGTTCTATCCCATGAAACGAATCTATCTCTTGTAACACACGACATCGACATACTTCCCTCGCGAATTTATCTCGAATTTTACGAACGCTATCCGCTTGATTCGCCGCTTCCTCTTCACGACTGGTTCACTATTGTGCGGATAACAATGGATTTTATACGAGCCCTCTAATGTATGCACGACCCGCATCTACTATAGTCGGTGCTTCACCATGTTTTCACTTTATAACGCAGCGTTTTCCCTTCCCGTTCGAAGAATGCGCAATCTGAAACTTCCGGGAGAACTGGAATCACTCGTACCGGATTTACGAAAAGAATCCACACACACACATACATACATTTTTTTTAACCTTCAATTACTGTCGCGAATCAAATTCTGCGTAGCGACTTTTAGAAAGTTATAAGAAATCTTAATTTCGCGACTAATATCGTAGAAAGCAGCGCGTAATATAATTAAGATTTTGAAAATCCATCCTGGGATGTGCGAGTGTAAAAAAATTACTTTAGATATTTCAAGTAATTAATATTTATTAATTATATTCAATTTATATAATAATTAATATTTATTATTTATTAATTTATAATAATAATTTATATTTATTAATTATATTATTAATTTATATTTAGTTTATATTTATATAAATTATTTGATTTATAATAATAATTTATATTTATATTTATATTTATAAGTAAAAAAATGAACCGTACTTTGTATTCCATAAATTTCTCGTTAAAGCGTCATTTAAAATTAGCTCTTACGTTACATCACTCTACATTTCCTACCTGCGTTCTTCACGTAATACATCACGCGTGTACACTTACGCACATATTACGTATGGTATTAAATTTATTTTTGCTTACCCAGATCAATTGTACAATTCGATCGTACGCAACGCATCTTCGTAACGCTGACGCTCGCATAATAATTTCTAATTATTATGAGCATTGCGTAGTCATCGAAGCATGCAAAAGTCGATTTCGCGATCTGCGTGACGTAAAAAAATGACATCACATTATGCGTGTCGACATTGTTCCGAATTATAGGGTTCTCGCATACGTGCGTTCGAGAAAACAATAGAATCTATGAAACGTTGTTTATATTAATTTCGTGTGAATTTTGAGATTTTAAACACTTAACTTTAATCCAATTATTCCTCTTTCCTTCAAAGAGATAGAATTTAAAGAGATAAAATTTCGAGAGAAATAAAGAAACACATAATCTGTAATTATTAAAACGGATATCGAAGGAATTGACTCTTAGAGAGCAAATTTAGATCGACAATTTTAATACCTTAATTAATTTCAACCTAGATTCATATCGGAATCCACTTAATCATGCATATACTTCCTGATGAAGAGCAAACCTATTATATGAAATTAAGCTGTAATGAAATTAATTGCACCGATTATGGATTTAATTACATTTATTCTATAATCGTGTATCATAGCATTGGATCACACGCGACTGCATTCGATTATGTATCATTACGTAGTTGCATGTTATTTTTAACTAGATTTACTATCTATACGAAGCTATGAATGCCCATTTTCCGTATATTATTGCTCTAAAACTTCTCTCTATACGTTACTGATCGCTAATAGAGGACATGCGTCATTATTGTAGAAAGTCTCTAATAGGAAAGGCGTTCCAAGCCATAAAACGTTATGATACGAAATCACGCATGATGCAAAGTAGAGTCTTATCATATCCTTGTGCATAACTGAAACATGTGCGTGATATCTTTTTCATCGAAACTTCCAAATGTCAGATTTAATTATAACTTAAATTAATATATAATCTTTTAAAAAAATAATACTACTTAAAAAGAAGTATTATTTTCTGATTACTATTTACTGCATACATTTTTAGCTTGAAAAAATTTTTATTTTTTTCTACAAAAGCCTTTACATTTGAAAGAAAAAACATTTTTGAAATCATTACGAATTAAAATTATTATGAATAAAAATGAATTTATATTTTTAGCTTCAAAAAATTTTTATTTTTTTCTATACAAAAGTCTTTACATTTTCAAGAAAAGACATTTTTGAAATCATTACGAATTAAAATTATTATCTTGAAACTATTATGAATAAAAACTATTATGAATTTATACTCATATTTGACCAACTTTCGAGAAGAAACACCGATTCTTTTCCCTCGATCAACTCGAGTAAGGCCTGTGTTTGTAAGATATTAACACGATGGATCGATCGGCACGTCGACTATTTCAAAACGATCACGATCGCAACGGTCCACTTACGAGGTGCTCTGAAAAAAAATTACCCAGCAATCCTCGAACCAGGGAAGTCTTGTCGTCCATTAAGTAATTTAAAATGAGGATTCTTCGCGGTTGAAATCGATAAAAAAGCTTCGCGTAGATTGCTTTTGCTCGAAGATAGAATTTCATATTCATTATCTTTTTTCTCATTGTGTTGTTATTTAAGTACCTCGTTCGAAGTAGTGTCTGGAAAATAGCGCGATTGATCGTACGACATGCCTTTTTTTCTATTATAACCAGCTAAGTATCCGATACTCGGAAAATTAATGAGTATAAGTATATTAATCGAAAATGATATCAATTAATTTTTTTTAATGATTTTCTATTCGACAAACTCTTATTCGTTTTTATTCGTTATTTCGAAATAATATTGCTTTTTATTTTTTTGAAGATTTTGAGCTAAAAAATAGATAATTTTAATATAATAATAATTTTAATATTTTAAACATCTCTTCGCATTTTTTATTTTATTTTTTTGGAGTGATTTTAACAGATAAAAAGAAAGTATTTCCTACATTTTATTCATACGACATAGGTATACATTGTTCACGCAAACGCATGATGCTGAATTATGCACGGTAACGGATTCTAGGATGAGAAAGCGTCGCGATGCACTGCACCGGAGCTATCGAGAGAAAATGCACCTTTCTCCAAAGATTGTATGCGTTAGTGCGGCCGATTATAAACTGTTAACCTATTACGTGGGATCGGATAACCTACGACATTACGATATCGTAATGTAGAAAGTTTCGTAAAGGCCGCGTACAAGAAGTGTCACTGAACGTCGAACCCGGGGGAATTTGTCGATCTCTCGAAGTGCAAATGCTGTCGCAAATATTGCTCAAAGACGACAAGAAAATTGCGCCTCAGCATTTTTTACGATTTCATTATTTAATATATTTAATATATATTAATTATATTTAATATATTTAATATATTATATACATTTATCCTATCATGTATTATGAAAATAATAAAGCAAATAATTACATACGAAGTAAAGAGACTTAACACTGTCTTTATTTTAGCATTCTCTTTTTTCCTGAATTATTTCATAAATATTGATAGCAGAAAAAAATGTTGGTTTTAATTAACACGCATTTATTTTAAAATCCTTTTTGAAATAACACACAAGTTTAGAAAGAGAAAGTCGTACACTAAGAAAATAAATGTTGAACCAACAACATCAGTGAAAAATAATGTTGAAAAATAATGTTGAAAAATAATGTTGAACTAACAACATCAGTGTAATTGCAATTTATTTTATTAATTCAATAACATTTTCAATCAAATTAATACACCATGTATTGATTTGATTAATAATGTTATTGAAAATTAATAAAATAAATTCCAATTACACTGATGTTGTTATCTCAACATTACTTTTTTTTCAGTGTAGGATTTTTATTAAACTATACGAATATTTAATGACTAAATTTATTTTGGAATTTTTATCTTACCTGTCGGTGGTCTCTCTTTGGGGTAACATATCCTGAATAGACCCTGAGTCCTCGTGTAATAATAATATTTCGTGTTCATCTGCTCTATCAAGTGGCTCTGCTCGGCATGCTTGCTCGCGTATTGCTGTAACAGGTAGAAGAGTATTCGTTAAATGGACAGGGCCACCCCAAGGGTCGCAAAAAAAGACGTTGATTTGAAGTTGCGAAACGCCATGTTATTAGCGATGATAAAGTGAAAGGGCAAGAACAAAATCGCGGCGAATAATTTACCTCGATGGAGAGAGCTACTACTGCACTGCATACGTATATATTTTCGAGATGCAGATGAAGTACGCACTCTTCCTTTCGCGAAAATGTTATTATCGTTAGAAAGTAAGAATATCGTGTACTCTCGCGATATAACATCTGTCAGAATCTCTCTCGTATTTTTAGTGAAAGGGACGCGATGCTCATTTAACTACATTTTACTACGGTCAACTCGGACGGCTAAAAACTGATTACAAGCGACTACTTTCTGTTGTGCGTGTCGAATTTTAAATTCAACTTTGTTCAATTTACCGACACGAAACTTCATTTTGATGACTACATTTATTGTTAGCTAGAAAAAGATGTATAATAGTGATAGAAAAAAAATTTACAATATCAATTATTATATCATAAATTGTATTATAAATTATTATATACAGGATGTCCCAGACTCAACGAATCAGACGTTAATAGCGGATTCCTGAGATCATTTGGAGACGAAAATTCTAATACCAAAATGTCGAGGAAGACTTCATAAAAATGTTCAAACTACCGACTACTGTCGCATCGAAGACACAATCGCACTCACTGCAGAATTCTATTTTTTATGTTATATTGATCTCTATCGATATCGATATTATCGTGCTGTACGCAGGCCTCTTGATGTTATGTCTCTGAGCACAGGAGAATGTAACGCGCCGATTGGTCATCTTTAATCTCTTGTAGCGTCGAAACTACATCTTCCTCAACATTTTGGTATTAAGATTTTCGTTTCCAAATGACCTCAGGAATCTACCATTAATGGCTGATTCGTTGAGTCTGGGACACCCTGTATTAATAATAAATGAAATTCATAATGTATATATTTCTTGAATTTTTTTTCTGTCAATTCAAGACTGATTATCAATAATTATCAAGAAATCGATGTAATCGTACAAATTATTGTAACACTCGCACAAATTTCTAGTCGCGGTGAAGAATTACCGATTTGTGGGTACGATAGATGAAATTACGAGGAAACGATTTCATCCTGGCATCGATATTTTGCGATGAGCTCGCCCATGAAATCTATATAAAAACCATAGAGAACGTCTATTCATGCGTGTCGATGCAAGTTCCGCATACTTTTTTATGTTCATGGATGTATTTCGCATACCGCCCTCGAAACTTGGTGCAATTTTAGATCATGCAGCGGACACGCATGTATCGATCTCCTCCCCCGGCCGCTCCAGTGGTCACTCAACGATATAATCTCGGATTGTCAGTGCCGGCGATCGTTACGATCTATTTTCTAGAAAGTCCCTCTTCGATTTCCCGATTCAACGTCTGGTAGAAAGTATAATAATACACCGCGGGAAATCTTGAACGCATGAATCGCGATCGTCGACGACGGAAAGAAACGTTTTCCGCGCGCGCTCGTTCTCCTTTTTGCATACACAAGTCGCTTCCCACGAGACATTTCGCTCTGGATCCACCGCCGATCGCTGATAAAAGGCGAAAGAAGGAGTTTCCCTTCAAAACTCGATTTGTTTTCGCGGAGGATATTAATATCCTCGCATTTCTCCCTTCCATTAATTCTTTTCACAATTTCTCCTTAAGCGATTTATTTATGTCTTTTATGAAACTTAGTTTACGATCAGACTCTCTCTTACTTTCTCATCTTTTGTTAATTATTCAAAAATTATTATCTTTTGTTAATTACTTAAAACTTATTATTTAGAGAATTTGAAATGTAATGCAAATATATAAATAATAAAATATATAAATATAAATATATAAATATAAAATATATAAATCGTTACATTGTCATTTATTATTTTCAAAACTTGGATGATAGATGTAATTGTTTTTTTTTAATTATTTAAAAATTATTAATGAAAAATTTGAGAAAAATCAAGGTACAAATCGTTATCATATAATTTGGAATTTTATCGTTTTCGAAACTTGGACTGTAGATGAAACATACAACTGCTTTGTGCGAGAAATACATTCTTGCTGCGTTTGTCAACAACAATGGTGATCGATGATGTTTGAGAAATTCCATCGCCTACGTTCTTCTTCGATTACCAACTAATAGTCGTACGAGTATGTATACTGCTGATGTAAACTTCAGCAGGTTAACCTTGACGAACACCCATGCGTTCCGAATAGGTCTTTTGAAAGAATGCGCAAGGTGAACGATGCCGCATATTCGCCCCCTCCCAGAATGTTTTCGTTTCATTGATACAAAAATAAAACAGTGTTTTATTATAAAATAGTGTTTAAAATATAATAAAGCGAATAACAAAATCTGATATCAATATTGTCGACGTAAAAAAAAGAGAGAAAAAAGAAAATTTAACATACATTATTTATAATTAATTGCACTTGCACAATCGTCTAGTTGTTACAATAATTATTTTATTTTGCGAATGTGAAGTCGTGATACAAATATAATAACATTGCAAAAAGATAATGCTGTGAAATCTGTTATTTAAAATACACGTATTGAGATTAAAAAAAGAATTCATTGAAATAAAATCATAAAAAATTATCCGACACAATGGGAGATTTTGCGAAATTAATATTAAAATAAAAACATGAGAAATTAATTTATAATATATATAATATTAAATAATTAATTATAATTAATAAATTCGAAATATTAATATTATATATAATAAATAATCATATATAATATTAATATTTAATTAATCATATTAATATTAATATTTAATTTTATTAATTATATAATATTAATATTTAATTAATAAATTTATAATTTATAATATTAATATTTAATTAATTTTAATAATTATAATAATTTTATTAATTATATAATATTAATATTTAATTAATTATAATTAATAAATTCGAAATATTAATATTATATATAATAAATAATTATATATAATATTAATATTTCGATGAAATATGCAGTATTGTTCGAGGAGGGAGTGTATTCTTCGCGCGAAAATTTCTACGAGCAACAAGTGTTGTCTGAAGATGCGATACAATGAATTTTCTCGCGATGGTACATATCAAGAGTTATCATCATCATTTGTCGAGAAAAGGGAAAAAAGGAGAATACCGACGAAATCTCCCGAGTCTTGTCTAGGCCACGCCATTCTGCTTTCACGTTGTTATTTCGCCATTGCTCGCCTCAAGCGCGGGAACATCGTCAAGCCCGGCTGATTTCTTTGACATAGAAAGGAAAACCCGGCGTGAAGCTCAATGAAGATAATTGTATTATCGATAACAGAATGGGAAATCGTACATCTCTCTGCTTTGGAAATTATTTATCAACGCACCTCGTGCATTGAAATTTTATTGAAAACATCGATTTTACAACATTTCTCGTATGCTTCTTTTTACAATTTTATTGCAACTAATCTCAATGAATGCATCATCAATTTCGAATTCATCGCATTGATTATGCAATATTACATATTTCTACTACATTTTGCAATCGCAGAGTGATAATCGTAGCAGCTAGAAAATTATGCAAAATATTTACGAGTGCTTGCGAAGACAGAATTGATAGCTTTCACCTGTATCTTGTCGTTTTCCATATTAAAAGAATTTTTATCGAGAGACGTAATTTGAGAATAAATATTATTTTATCAATTCCGGATAAAATTGATCAACGTTGAATTATAAATTATAATATATTTATTATCATTTCGATTACGAATTTATTTATATTAGAATGGCTTAAGGAGATCAAGTGCCTTGCCTTGTCTTGTGTTATGCACGCAACTTTCATTTGAATTTTTCATCGATCTCTTCCAACACGTTGGCCGCTCACGATCCGCGATCGTTTTTCCGACACTGTGCGCGATTCACGATTGCATCGTTTCGTCATCGGAATAATCCATCATCGTGCAGTAATCATTTAAGGGGACCGATCGTGAGTAATGCGGGTTTATAGGGGCACCGTTTTCATTTGAATGACAATTGACGTAATTTAACCCATTTCGAGATATATACTTAAGGACTTTCCGCATTAATTTGTCACGTTGAAACGATGCGACTGGATTGTTCAATTGGCAAATACAATCCAGCACAGTTTTGCATATTTGTCGACGTCTTTCTGCAACGTTTGTGTCAATCGAATGCCTAAGTTTGTAATTTAGAAATTTTTATTTCTAAATATATAAATATTGTTTCATATTTGCATCTCGTGCACTAATGTAATGTATGATACGGTCTAATTAATTTTAAAGTTATTCTATAAATTTATTCTTTACTAACATACGAGTGATGCAATGTAAGAAATGATGCAAGTGTAAAGCTTGATAGATTTTCGAGCTAACAAATATAATTGAGATTAAGAATGAATTAAGAAAATCGATAAGATATTATTAAATATAATTTAATATTGTAGATTTTTTAATATAATTTAATATAATATTTTAATATAATTTAATATTGAAGATTTTTTTGAAGAAACAAAAACTAAGATAGTGTGATTAGATTTTTCTTCTTCCCTTTTTTATATTACTTATTTCTTTCTCTTTTTATCAATCAATATAAATTAGCATTTAATACTTAGGTCTGCAATTTATAATTTTTTATTTTTAATGTGTTCTAAGACATAAATATATTTATTCGTATTTATGCAGTAATGTAATGTATGATATGGTCTAATTAGCTTTAAGGTTATTTTATAAATTTATTCCTTACTAATCGCATACGAATGACGCAATGTAAGAGATGATGCATATGTAAAACTTGACAAAATGTAGAGATAAAAAATATAATTTAATATTGTATTGAAAGTTTTTGGAGATAAACCGAGATATTTCAGTAGTATATTAGAGATCTCTCTTTCTCTTTTTTTTTATTAATATTCTTTCCATCTTTATTAAAAAATATGTTATATATTAATCAGTTTCG